GCTGTTGTCTCTGGCCAACGGCGAGATAACTTTATTGAGAACTTCCAGTTTTGCATGATGTGAACGGCTAAACTTGACGACGTCTTTGGCATCAATTTTTATCCAATCAGATGGACACATGGAGTGATATCATGGGTTTTAGATGTGTGTTTTGTTAACAGGAGGGTGGAGGCTGACAGTCCTCTGCCTCTACTTCATTCATAGGTAGGAAAACTGATTCATGTTTAGGTTCTGTGGGCTTTGGGATTTCCCACAATCCTCCACAACCACTTGCTTCCCTTTTAGAGAGATGGGAGATTTTCTTTTTGTTGGGCTTCTCAGGTGGAGTCAGGTAAATGTTGCCTACTTCACTGACACTAGTTAAGATTTTTCTATATCAGTAGTTCCCGATAAAGGTAGTTCCCAACCTGTGGATCGGGGTCCACTGCTGATTATAAAATACAGAGGCCTAAATAGTGTTTTTTAAATGTCTTAAAAACTTTTCCCTTCAGGTATTAAGGTCTTTAAGACGGCCATGAGTCGGAAAAGGTTGGGAACCTTAACCTTTTAACTTTTAGTGTTCACAATGGTGAGAAAACGTCACACCTTTCTCGCTTGGTAAGCATACTACAGTCCGAACTGGGACACCTTCGTAATTGGTGAGGTGGACATCGTAATTGGTAAGGTGGACTTAGCCCAGATGGGGGACTTAGACTAGGAGCAAAAATTGGTTCATTGTCTGAGATGATGCAGAGCAGATAGAAATGCCATGTGATGAACTCAGTATGTCGGGATCCTTAAAATGTCCTACAAGCCCATCAAACCTCTGTTTATAACAATATTAACGTATAAATATTCATGCACATTTAGCTGATGCTCTTATCCTGAGACAGTTATAACCGAGCAGGGATTCTGCATCTTGCTTAAGGACTTGTTGGCAGGACACCTCGGCCTTTGAGCTCAGGGAACATGTAATCCGTTTTTTTGGTTAATGGGATGGGCCCTCTAAGCACCGGGGGAGCCTCCCAGCCACCGCCAGCCGTGTGATGCAGCGCTTTTGTGTTTTTGTTGTGCGTCCCAAACTTACCTTTGTGCACAGAGCGGAAGCCGGGGGTGGTGGTGGTTGTGGTGGTTGTGGTTGTGGTGGTTGGTGGGGGTGGGGGGTGGGACACACGCTCAGACAAAAGATCAGCATGTCTTTCCAGGAACCAGCAGGCAGTGGTGGCTCTAAACAGCTTACAGAGCTGAGACAACAGGCCTGGATACAAACGCAGACCACCTCACCTCCGATCCTCTCTTGTCTCTGTTGCTCAGCCAGTACGACTCAGGAAGTAGATTAGCCAAGAAAGCCTGTAGCCTCAAACGACTTATGAAACTGAGACAAAAGCTGCAGCTTCCACATGGAGAAAAAGATAAAGGGGAAGAATAAACCCTCATTTTTTTTTTGGCTCCTTGGCTTCAATTTGTTTAGTTTCTTTTATTTCTTATTATAAGAACCAGTGAGTATCTTATTTTTTTTTGTGTTAGTGTTATTTGATACTCACCTGGTGGACAGGTGGGTGTGCAGCAGAGAGAGAAGAAAATGCAGTTGAATTTTCAATCAGTATCTGCTATTTTACTGTGATTCTGTGATTTCTTTTTTAAATATTGTTGCCATTTACCTCCTTTTTTTTTAAAAAAAATATGCTTCTAATGCATTTTGTTTTCTTCTTGTTTTCTGTTTTTTTAACACTATGATCATTTCTCCAAGTTTCATATTTTGAGTTTCTTTTTTTTATTTGTTTGTTCTTTGATTTTTGCCTGTTTGACATTTTTTTTTTAAATCACTGCTTCTTTACTGCGTCTTTGATATTTTTATTGAAAGGAATCTTGGCACTATTTTTTTTGGCCTCGAGTTAAGCTATTTATTGGATATTTCCTGAAACAGTTGCTTCCATTGTTTCTACCTCTATTGTCTTTGTCATTAGTGCATTGAAATACTGGCCATTGTGTTAACATCAAACGATTTACTTGAAAGTTTTTATTGAAATACTAACTGACTAACTGCACCATTTTAGACTCAAAGTAGAAGCAGTAAAAGGAGTAATGTGTGCACATGGAACACCGCCTGAAAAAATATATTATAGTTTCAACATAACGTTGTCATCAGAAAAAAATTCCTAAATTTAAAAATGGCCCTAAACTTTGATTAATGACTCAAAGTATTACCCAGAATGCCCTCCCTTAATGGCATTAATATGCTTTTATATACCGAAGCGTGCAAAAGGAGTCAAGGCATGTTAAGATACGTCCCCCTGTAGTTGGTGTTGACATTATCAGACATCCTGTTGTTGTAATTTTATCCATAACAAAGCTAAGGATTTATGAACCACCTGTGGAGGCATTACAGACAATATAAAGTAAATATTAAAGTAGGATTTTAATGTGTTCATGAGGAAGAATTACACCAATGTATACGCTCATATTCACTCTGAAGCCATATTTTTTTTTTTCTTTGTTGGAAAGTGTGTGTCCTCTGACTCTGTGCTGTGATGCTGCCATCTGCTGGTCACTGGCTGCAATAGGCCTGAGGTCTTGAAATTGCAAATCAGCAGCAGACACAGCAACAGCCTTTCCATCCGTAACCCCCACCCATTCGTTTCACCAGAAACCTGCTGATATAAACCGGATGCACATTAAGTGCATCGTCATCCCCCGTCATTTCAGGTACTAACATAAACTGTGATGTCATCAGTTGAGCTCTTATTTTGGTAAGCCTGCCAGTGCTAGTCGACAAACTGGCAATTTGTGAACAATTTGAGGGCAACACTGCAAAATATCAGTGTCCCTGATCCACATTCATACGCTTGTTCATTTATATTTGCAACCAGGGACCGGTGCTTATTCAGGAAAGGCTCCACAACATGCAATTTTATATGTTTGGAGGTATAGTTTTATTAGTATTATATGATTAGAAGAGTAAAATTAACATTTGAAATGAAGTCAGGTTCGCTGGAAGAGGGAAATTTTGACACTTGTAATGTGATGCTGTTTTTTCCACTGTGGGAGATTCTGTGATTTTCTCTTGGAGATAATCATTCATTCATTCCCGGGAGACGACACTTTGGACATAGTATTTATTTCAGTCTTAAAAGTTTATAACAACTTCTGGATAACATGACATGAAAACAAAACAAAAAAGAAAAAAAAAAAAAAAAAAAAAAAAAAAAAAAAAAAAAAAACACAAAACAAATTTTAATCGCACCCCAGTTTGACAAAATTAGAATTCATAAAAGCAGTTTTGAAAAAATAAAAATAACAATAAAATCACAGGGAAAATCACCCCCCTCCCACCCCCCCCCAAAAAAAAAAAACAGCTCTTGTAGACTTACAGTACATCAGGAGTCTGTACACCTGATGTGTTACACCTGATTTCAATGTTCAGACACCTGTGTGAATACTTGAACCAGTTTGGGATTCGAATTCAAGCCAGCGAAAGTGGATTTGAAGGTTTTGGGTGCAAATGGGGGGGCCCCCCAGAACCTCAGGCCCTCTTTTTCTTTTTCTTTTTCTTTTTTTTTTACAGCAAAGCCCAGCACCTGGAAATGTGTTAAAAAAAACACAGAACAAATCTCGTGGTTTTCTAATCAAGGAGCCATGATTTAATCCAAATCCTTTTTTTTCTTTTCTTTTTCTCACAAATATCTGTAACATTCCCCCAATCATTAGACTACCTAAAAGCAAATCCCCTTTATTTCAGTTCAACATTTATTAATTCTACACATTGAATACAAAAGGTTTAAGCGATTGGCATCGTTAATATCATACAAGACTGTTATGTTCTAGGGAAAATGGCTCTGTCTGTGCTCAGTAGTTAGCTTTATTGTTCGGTGAAATGCATGACCTTTTTGTGGTTGAAAACAGTGAACAATCTCCCCACAGCCAAATAAAGTTTATATACCTTTTAATCCTCTTTTTTCAAATATATATTTATTATATATAAAATACTGTTTCATTCATAAAAGCCTTACTTTGTACAATGTCTGAGTTGATGTGTGTCAGTGAGCGAATGAAGTGAATGATATGATATATATGTGTGTGTTTGTGTGTGAATGCGTGAGTGTGTGGAAATTGTCTCAAACAGCTGGTACTGACTCAAGACCTAATACACTAAAAACAAAAGGTGTTTACACAATATACACATTTTATTTCTTACAAAAAAAAAAAAAAAAAAAAAAAGTAAGAGAAAGAAGGTGTCGGCTGATGGTGTTAGCAGGCGGGCTATAGCAGGGTTAGTACCACCAAATGTAACGTAAATCGACAGAAAAATGACAGGAAGAGAGAGAGAGAGAGAGAGAAAGAGGGTGTGTGAATGAAGAGCTAGTAATACAAATAAAAAGGCAGTCAGTCTCACTAAGGAAAGCTCATCGTCAGTGCATCTCATCGTGGATGTCCCGAAGTCAAAGTGCCGATTTGGTAACGATCCAGTCCTCATCAATAAGGCCAAAAACGAAAAGGAAAAAAAAAAAAAAAAAAAGAAGAGCACTTCTGTCTAGAAATGGATGAACAGAATCACATTTTTTTGTTGCACCAACGTCAAAAGTGATTTCAAAAGAAGAGAAAGGAAAGAATGATCCTTTTGGGAAAGAAGGGAAAAGAATGAAAAAAATGCACTTTTGTTGTCACACATCCGTCATGGCACCATTTAGTGGATATTTTTCTGCTTTCATTTTGAGGTACTTCTTAGGAAAAACAAAGACTAAGTGTAAAGATTTATTTACGTCAGTTTTTTTTTTTGTTTGTTTTGTTTAGTTTTTTTTTTTTAAGCTGTGTTGCACAGTAGCACCATTGTTTAAGTTTTTTTTTTTTTTTTCCGGAAGACAATGCACCATTGGAATTCCACCTCGTCGCCACGGCGACCACCGCCCCCCCTCCCCCAACTCCCTTACTTGTCCCCCCCCTCCCCCCCGTCATCCAATCATCTCTTGTTATTGATTGGGCGTTCCCCCCCCTCCCCCCTCCCGGGGCAAAGATGGGTTTGCTCGTTGCCGTGTGCTGTTACGTCCTCTTCATGCAAACCACGCAACGGCTGACGCGTGTCCGTAGGTTACCCGCCTTGAGCGTCTCCGACTGCGGCTTCCTGTGAGGACCAAAGGTTAAAAGGTGGTTAAGATTTTTCGAAGATCCATATGGAAAAATTATATATGATATATGTAAGTATATTATTTTGATATATATATATATATGAAATCCTGTTAACCTGCAGTCAACAACAATCTTTAAGCCACATTAGAAGTTACAGAGAAGCATAATCATTCACTCATCCAATACTCTCTCCTTTTCGTTCTTTCGTTCTTTAGCTGCTAAATGCTCCAATCTGTTCAGAGCTGTCTCCCTCTCTGTTTTCCGCCGTCACGTGTCTCCGTACCTGAACATCTCACTGGGTTCTACAGTGGCCAGCCAGAAGCTGTAGGAGTTGCCGTAGTAGTTGCACGTCCCCCTGCCGTGGCACTCGATGAAGGGAGCGCTGCGGAACTCCTCCAGGCAAGAGCCGGGGGAGGCCAGGGCCTGACCGGAGCCCTCTGCACCCGCACTGGTGTGCTGGGGAGGAAAGGGAGGACAGGGGGTATGTAATGCACCGCATCGACAGGAATGCGTGAATTTGCAGATATGAATAACAATGTGTGATTACAAAACATCAGATGTGATTTCTAGGCGTTAAAACAGCTGAAATGCATCGGTTTAGAAGTTCAGAAGGAGAGTACGAAGGCGTGGTCGTGTATATGTATTATGTCCCACCATCATGAAGGAGTATCCTATCCACAGAGCTTCCCAGTTTGTAGGGCACGAGGGGATCTGAATGGTCTGACTGTGGACTGCAATCACCATGGCTGGAGCTTCACACACTGCACACCTAGACACACCACAGAAATGTAAAATTAAATACCACACATCCAACTCTGCTCCTGCTGTCTACTTCTTCATCCGTCCGTCCGTCACCCACCTGCTAATGAAAGGCTTGATGCTCTCTCCGGTGATGGGGGCCATGGACATGGGCATGGGCTCGGGAGTGGACAGCCAGTAGGAGTAGTCGTTGCGGGAGGCGAAGTTGCAGACGTTGTTGATGTTGCAGAACATGAAGGGCATGGTGCTGAACCTGCGCAGACAGCTGCCGGCCGTGCCTGGCAGACAGGACGGAGGAAGAAGACGGTCACATATACGGATAAAATAAGGCAGATAAAACTTCAACAATGGAAGCTGCTCCGTACCGAGGTCCTGTCCGTGTGCCCTCTCGTTGCCCTGCACGTACAGCAGGGAGTAGCCGTCGTAGATGATGTTTGTTCCCTCGGGACAGAAGGGCACTTCCTGGCCCTGGCTGTGTCGGGTGATGAGGAAGCCGTGGGCTGCAGAGGCTGTTCCTGGAAGACCAGGAGGACCCTGTGGACCGTCTGAACCAGGGGGACCTGGGTAACCACGCTGACCTGAGACAAGAGAAGATAAGAGTCATCAGGCCACAAATTCCAACCACTAGGTGGCGGCCTCATATAAAAATGATTGCTTATGTTTATTTGTTTTGTCTCGTTGGTGAAAACCGTCGGGGCGCTTTACGTACCAGGCTGCCCGGCGGGTCCAGTGTCTCCCTTCCTGCCAGGTGGGCCGCTGAAGCCAGGAGGACCCTCCGTACCAGGATCTCCAGGGTTACCAGGTTGACCTGAGGACAGGGAGAGTACTCTGTTGTTAAATGAGCAAACTTGGGTTTGGAAAACTTGAAATTCCTCACAGAAAACTTTTAAAGATGCTAACAGGGTTCACATTTGTTCTCTAACTTCTTCTTTTTCTAACCCCCTTGTGTCAGTTGTCTGTTACTGCAATAACAACAGTAAAAGAAAATTATATTCTCTCAGGCCTAACTGAAACTCGTGCAACTCCCAAGTCCAGATTCACCCACCTGGGAGTCCCTCGCGTCCAGGGGAACCAGGTGCTCCCGGAGAACCACGTCCGCCCGGAGGACCGGGGGGTCCTCGCTCTCCCTTCACCACGATCGGAGCCGGAGGTATACCGGGGTCACCAGGAGGGCCTAGAGGTCAAATGTTACAGAGGTAAAATAATCAACTTTAAATACGCAAAACATTTAAATTCACTGTAGCTTAGAAGGCCAGTGTGTTCACCCACCAGTAAGTCCTATTTCTCCAGGGTCTCCGGGAACACCGATGCCACCAGGGATTCCTGACTCTCCCTTGGGTCCTGGCAAAAACACCAAACACAAACAAATCTCTGGGCTTTGCTTCTGATGAACACTTAAGATGAAGAGTATATTTGTGGATGGTGGGAAGAATGAGAAAATACTGGTTACAGTATCGTGGACTAACCAGGGAATCCAGGAACGCCAGGCAGACCGATGTCTCCCTTTATACCGGGGGCACCAGGAAGACCAGAGCTGCCCTGGTTAGAAAGAGCAGTTACATCTCAGAGGACGATCACATGGTTAATCCCTTTGACCCCCTCCCCCCCTCAAGAAAATGAAGATGCAAATTCTTTTAATTTAAATTTATCAAATGTAATAAAATGATCTTACTGGGAATCCTGGAACACCAGACTCTCCCTTCTGCCCGGGGAAGCCAGGCTGGCCTGGAGCGCCAGGAATACCCTTCTCGCCTTTAACGCCGCCACTTCCTTGGGGTCCGCGAGGACCCTCTGGGCCGGCTGGACCTTCAGATGCAGACGGCAGAGGTTCAATAGTAAGGTACAGTGTAATAGAGAAATAACACAACAATATTGTAGATACAAGTTTCAGTTCATTATAATCTGGGCTGGGATCAGTTTGATTTCATTTATCAATTAAAAAAGTGGATTTTGTTTAAGAATTGTTCAACTTTAAAACGTGTTTCCATGAATTGTTTTTAGAAATGTATTAAAAGAAATTCCTTATTTTATTAACAAGGGAGAAAATCCTACGTTTGCTGCTGCTGATTGTTTAATATCCATTTGTTAAATTACATAAATATAAACCTTTTTTTAATAAACTTATTTAATAATCTGTCATTTGCTGGTCATACAGTTTATATCACTACAATTTGTTTAAATAATTATACATAGCAGCAGACGGAGGATAATCTCAGATACACATATTAACTTATTTAGTTTAAACAGATAATATGGACAGCAGGACGCCTTCATTCATGTTTCATTCCCAAATTTAGTGTCACAGGCGGAAAAAAAAAAACTTAAACTTATCCCGATAAAAGATGGTGTATTGCTAGGGAACATGATGTTATGATACCAGCCCCTCATTGATGCATTTTACATGCAATATCAATTCTAATTTAATTTTGTCGAACTTTCTCAGAGGCAGAACTGAAGTTTCATTTTTGTTATTCAAGTTTGCCATGTGTTAGAGCAGCTTTGCCTCTGAGAAGAAGGAGAAGGAGTAGAGAAAGAAATAAAAAATAAAAATAAAAAAAATCAGATGATCCTGTACAACGACTGGATTATATGTGTGTGTGTGTGTGTGTGTGTGTGGACAGGATGTCCTTTATGTGTGTTTATGTGAGACGTCCAGCGTGTCCTGTTGGGGTAAAGAGAGGGTCACAACACAACCACCAACGTGAGGTTTTAACAGTCACACAAGTCACACGAGATACCACAATATATATATATATAATAACAATGTATAATGACAGAAATCAAGCGATCGGTGCCGGGATGAATTCATCTTCAAAGCATTGTATGGATGCCCCTGAAATACAATGACGCAAATACTTAAGCTATAAAAGCTTTGTCACACTTCAGGTTTCCCCCCCTCCCCGCCCCACAAATCCCATGGAAGAGCATGTAGCACAGCACATATCAAAACCACTGGGGTCTAACCTGGAGGACCTAGGGTTCCCACAATTCCCGGATAAAGCGGAGCCGGGTTGACGGCGTGGGGCAAAAAAAAGAAGAGGAGGTTTAGACAGAAGCAAGCATCAGTACAGAAACATGAAACAATAACTAAATATTCTCTCTTCATGGAGCCAAGAGCTATTAAACAAAAAGTCTACTGGCTTCAATAGCTTTACTGCAGATGGCTATTTATTGTAGCTTGTAGATGATTTACATTAACTTAATAGTGAGGAGCTGTTGTGATAGCACCCAACAACATAACCCAATCTCATAATGATAAGTCACATGGTAAAAAAAAGAGTAGACAGATAGTAACACTACAGCTACGGAGACTCGCAGGTGTCATATTACTCTTAAATTAAGCATTTGTGCACTTAAAATAATTAACATTATAATAATTATATAATATTAATAATATATCAAATGTTATACTGTAAAATACTATTAACTTTTTGCATTCTTATACCTGTAATAATAATAATAATAATAACAAACATATATACATACACATAAATTTAAACATAATTTTTAAAACATTTTTTTAATACCATGTGACCTACGGAGGCTCAGGTGAGCTTGGTTTTGTTGCTGCTGGGTCGCTTTAACAAAACAAGAGTGTTAAGCTCCAGTATGTTCTAATTATAATTATGCTCATGTACAAACTAAATTACTTGCATTTAAATAATAATACAGCAGAACTGTAATTACAGTATGTGACACATACTAAAAACAATGATGTAATGTTGCAGGTGAGGTTGTTATATGGTGTGTTTTTGTGCACAAGCTGTATAATATCATTCAGACTGTTAGATCTGTATTTAAAAGTACCTACACGTGATTCAAATAACATGCTGATTGTGCCAGAGAACTACTGTGAGTTTTAAATCTGGGGTGTGTTATTTATTTCATTGCAATATAGAAAAAATTTGTTTCAAAGGTGCTTACTTGTTAAAAGTGCATTAATCTACCATCAGTGTGCATGGAAAGTGAAAAAAGAGACAGTTAATAGAGAGAAATAAAAAAGAAAAAAGGTCAAGAAAAGAGAAAATGCAGTGATTTTTGCAAAAAGGTTTTCAGGTGAAATTTGTTCCCAGTGGATCAGAGAGTGAGATTAAACTCAGAGTCAGAGTTGCTGTAGAAGAACGTGCATTAGGAATCTGGACGCCGTTCATCTGACCTGAGGGACCTGCGACGGCCGGATGCAAGAGTCATCGCGCCAAGAGGCGGGGCCACACCACAGTGGGTGGGGCCAAGCCACAGGAAAACAGGAGTTAAAAATTTCATAGCATCAGCATTTATTACCCCCGACACTCAGAATAACACTTGAGTGTTTGTTTTTTTTCTAGCCGGACACAGTGCTGTTGTGTGGTCAGAACTGACATTTACTTTGAAATAGCACAGGGTGAATATTATGAATGAATATCTTACTACTACGACCTAATGGCTTCAAGTTATGTTTGATTTCCCGTAAATATTAATTTTCATCTGGAAGACAACATTCATATTAGCTTACTTCCATTTTTGTTTTTTAATGTTGATTTTTTAAAATGTGTTTATCTTGTTTTTTAATTAAATATTTACTGGCTCCAACATTGAGACAAAACAGAAATCTACTGATTTCAGAATAAAAATAAGTTACATCTATCTTAATAAAAATTATTTATGCATAAGAACATTTAAAAACACACTAAAATGCATTGTGAAAATGGCTATTTTTCTTAAAGCAGCTATAATCGATTTTCTTCATAATTAAATGCATCCAATGACCATTTAAAGATGGTGGTGGAGATCCAAAGCAGAGCTAACAGCAAGTTAACATGAACTACATAGATCACACCCCTGTGCATTGCTTCTTAGCAAATAGGAAAATTACATTCTCCCGGAGTTGTGCGTCAGGGTTGTCCACTCCTCCCAGCACTGTGTTCGGCTTGTTCTCAGTGTGTGTACGTTGACGTGTGTGTTCGTGTCGGGACAAACAGTGTCCATGCAGATGACTGATTGGTGGGACAAAACACACTCGGGACAGCAGAGCCAGACACAAACCCACAATACTCACAACTAGACTCTGAGGTTATCGCTGGTTATGGTTATAGTAGGGGGTTTGGAGAAATATCAGATATCCAGACTAGCCACACCAGTACCACTACCTGTTGTGTGACGTTTTCTCAGCTCAACTATTTATTAGTGAGCCACTGTCTTTTATTTATAAGATTTATGTCTTCAGTAGGAGCCAGCGTGCTCAGGGTTGATTCTGGCCTTTTCATGAGATTCGTTGACAGTAAGAAAAGATGCAGTTGAGAGTTTTAGGAGTTTGTTTCAGGCTCGACTGTTTCACACCAACATTTCTTTCAAAATGACCTCACATGACCACAAACACCGGACGGTTACAATGGCAAGAGGAAACAACGAGCATACACACACACACACACACACACACACACATACATACATACATACATACACAGTACTTCAGGGCTGTGGAGAGATGAATTGATTACAGCTTCCCCCCATTAAGGGATCGGGGGGGAGGGGGCAAGGGGGTGAGGAGACATGAGGACAGATGGATTTGTGGATTAAAAAACAAACAAACAAAGAAAATAAAAATGGATGGAAAACTCATGCTCTTTTTTGGGGGCGTGGTCAAACCCCCTTTGACAAACAGTGATAGGTGCGTGAGGAGCACCCCGACATTTCCTGGTGAGAAGGGGGTGAGGGTGGGTGGTGGTGGAGGAGTAACACAAACTTTTATCGTCAGTGCTCAGTGTTTATTGACAATGACTGGACAGGCGTGTTGGTGCTCAAACAGTGACGGAGCTCTTACACCGGAGGTAGCGATTGGTGCAACAACGTCCCATGCAAATCAAATTGACATGGAGATGAAAGCATTCACATTTAAAAAGTGGAGTTTCTGTCATTTGCTGCCTGGTTTTCGCTGGATAGGTGAAGAAGACATCAGTACTGTCTTTTCTTTAGTTTGCATCTTTAGTAAACTGTAAATTCAGGACTTTACCACCTACCCATTAACTACAAATGTATAGTTATGTTTTCTTTCTGAAGATTTCATTCTGAAACCTCATCAGGGACTATTTTGTATTAAACTCCAGCAACTGAGACTAATATTTTCCTTTCCATTGTCCATGTTTATTGTTTGTTTTCCAGCTTTGATTCTCCAGAATCACACAGCTCATGAAAGCAGTGCTGTTTTCAGCTCCAATCAGCAGCTTCTTAGTGGAAGAAGCCTCACAACAGACCCTGACTGCAACCTGCAGGTAATTATGATGCAACTTACAAAAAGGTAGAGGCAATGTCTAGTTCACTGTGACGTGATCCCTATCATAAGCAAGTACCAACTGCAGTTGCAAGTGCATTAGGACCTGACTTAAAATTGTTACTGAAAGACTTAATGATATTTGGAATATCCTACACATTAAACCTCACAGGGTGAAACAAACCCTTACTTTACCTAAGTCTGAGATCAGAAAACCAGGCAGCAGTTTCTGACAGTACATGTGGTGATAAATACAATATCCAAGTGCTTTACCTGCTCGTCCGGGTGGTCCAGGGGGACCTTGGAGTCCTTTAGGGCCCTGCAGAGCCAGTCCTGGAGGCCCAGGAGGGCCAGTGTTTCCTGGAGAACCAGGGTTACCAGGGAAGCCAGCCTCTCCTTTAGTACCGGGGAAACCAGGACTGCCAGAGGGACCGGGAAGACCTGGGTCTCCCTTGGCGCCTGAACAGATAGTGAGGGATAAAGTAGAGATGGTTATATCAGTGCAGAGACAATAATCGTAAAAACACAAAAATGCTGTGCAGGTACATGCACAGTAGTAGATGGTAACTCACCTGGCAACCCTGGAAGCCCAGAAGGACCGGGGCCACCGAAACCAGGAGGGCCTGCAGAGGAAATAAAGCATTAGTGAAGTGAACCAAATCAAAAATATACAATAAATTATTTCTTCTGAGCAAAATGACGAGTAACTTACCTGGCTCTCCTTTGACTCCAGCAGGTCCTGGGATACCATCACGTCCTGCCTGACCTTTCTCTCCTGGCTGTCCTGGTGCTCCTGATCGTCCTGGCTCTCCTGGTCTACCGGGAGCTCCAGTGAGACCTGGACCACCGGGCGCACCGTCGAGACCCTTGGGACCTGGGATACCAGGAGAACCTGACAGAAGAAGATGGACAGTGCATCAGTCAGTGTTGCTTTGTTTCAGCTAACACAAACATCATATATGTACATCACAAATGTCATTGGCTTTTAAGTGTATTTTTTTAACCTACCTTGGAATCCTGGGAGGCCGGGGTCACCTTTGATGCCTGGTCCTCCAGGTAAACCTGGGAGACCGGGAGATCCTGGAGTTCCTTTGAGTCCTGAGCCTCCTGGGAACCCTGGCTGGCCTGGCTCACCCTACGAGAAACATAATAAAGAAATGAAGTGTGAACCTGCACTTGCACTTTGAGGTTTTTCTGAACTACAAAATTTCAGGGGTTGAGTTCTGCACCTTGATTCCAGGTTGTCCAGGTGGTCCGACTCCTGCAGAACCTGGTTCACCTTTGGATCCAGGGAAACCAGGTGATCCTGGCTGTCCTGAGGATCCTGGCCGTCCCGGCTGACCTGGTAGACCCTTCTGCCCTGATGGTCCTGTAGCATGATCACAGTGCAAGAACAGCATGTTCATGACACAGAAATCAGGTGTTTAAGTCTATTAGTCTGACTAATAGGCATATTAACAACTAAAACCAAAACCTTGTTATAATGTGTGTAAAATTATTTTTGCAAGGAATATAGTAACAGCATTTAGTAACTCACTGACAACTCATTTGAAAAAAAGACTTAATAATGAACTATGAGACATTCAAACACACCTGGAAATCCCATTTCTCCCATGCCGCCTTTTTGTCCTGGAGCTCCGGGACCACCTGAAGTTCCTGGGATGCCAGGATCTCCCTTAGGACCTGAACACAATGTAAGCAGCACATTAGAGAGCTATTTGCATGATTATTTGTGTGTTTATGTGTGTGTGTGTGTGTGTGTGTGTTATGGAAGGTAAACCTATACCTGGTGGTCCGGGGAGTCCAGGGCGACCATCTGATCCTGACAGGCCGGGGTCACCAGGGAGACCGGAGATGCCTTTCTGACCTGGAATACCTGGTACACCTGTGGAACACGCACAAGAAATATATAAAAAAAAATACAGTGACTAGTAATTGAATGAATATATTTACCTACTTTACCTACTATCACTTTAAGACTTCTTAAGACAATTTTAGAATCACTTTTTAAGGGGCAGTGAATGTTTTTTCAGCTGTACCTGGTAGTCCTGGATCTCCTTTGGCTCCCTTTGTGGGTGTTGATGGTGCCTGGCTGGCTCCTGGGGGTCCTTGGACACCAGGGTCTCCCCTCTCTCCTTTACTACCGGGACCACCGGGTGCACCGTCTCTACCTGGGAATCCAGATTCACCTGGAGAGGAGAAGGTGAGAATCAGAGGTCGTGTGGTCTATGCTGTGGTCCCTGTCACAAATTACTTTCAAACATATTCTTGTCATTCGTCGGCTAATTCTTCCACGCCAATATTGATAATATCTGCAATGAGCTAATATCGGCTACTATAGGTGGCGTGGCCAAGTTACTGTGTGTTATACATGCTTTTTAAGGTTCATGGCAAAGTTATGAGCAAGGTAAGGTGTGTGTTTATGTGAATACCTTTAAGTCCGGGAGCACCAGGTCCTCCTGGGCCACCTGGTCCTCCAGAAGGTCCTGGAGATCCCATGGGACCCATGTCTCCTTTCTGGCCTGCATCCAGCAAAGAGCAAAGAAAAGTTAGAGCAGCCTTAAAACACAAGACACTATACTCAGACAACATTCAATAATCCAACAGTATAGTGCTCAGCCAGATGGTCAGCCATACAGGTAACTACACTTGATAAGCTAACTTGTTAGCCTGCAAACCAGTCAGCGAAATACTGTGATTTGGCTAGCCAGCAAGCCGGCTGCCAAGTGAGTACCACTTAAACAATCTGCCACCTAGGCAACTGGTCAATTAGCAAGTCAGCTAGGAAGCTATACTGTAGCTATCTACAGTCAGTTTGAGACGAAAGAGAGCTAGCTGTTGTTGCTGGCTGGTTTCTTGCTAGTTAGCATCTGTTCTACCAGATTTTATAGCTAATTTCTTCTGTCATCGTTCTTTATGAAACATTTTCTGTCCATATCTTCAGGTAATTGTGTATCTGTTACTTTTGTACTGGACAGTGAAGTTTGAGCATCTACTCATTTCAGCAAAGCCAAAACACTAACTAATTTGTTAGCATTCAGCAAGCACAGCGCTCATCAGGCCTTGATGTTACAGCATATTAGCTTAACTTTTTCCTACATTTGTAGCAATTTGTCAATAAGTGAAAACAGATAGGCACAATAATATAGCTTTTAATTAGTTGTACCGATAGGATAGTGGAACAAAGGTTATCTTAAAGGAAGCTGGACTTTCTATAACATCAGATCATTTACCAATGATGTTAGAGATATATTTTACCTGGCAGTCCAGGCAGGCCATCCCGTCCAGGTCCTCCAGGAGGTCCTGGGGGTCCGAGTGGTCCTGGGGAACCTGGGAAACCGGGACTTCCTCTGTCTCCTGGCAGACCTGGGATATCTAGACCTGGAGCACCGGGGTCTCCTTTCTCTCCGTTTGATCCAGGGAATCCTGCAACGATGATGGGAAGATTTCAGTCTCTCCTTATGGAAACGTTAGAAAAACTCCAGCTTTCCAACTTATGAATGATCTGAAGACCAATTCAGTTTTTTATTTAAAGCTGCTTGGGGGTTTTATTCCCCAAAAGATCTGAAGACACATGCCCAACACAGTCAAGATGCAGGATATTATGTGTTTGAAATAGACAAAGCAGTAATCATAAAACGAAATACATACACACAAAGTAAATGGATTATTAATCTCTCGTAAAATCGTTGTCATGTGCGCTATCCTTTACCATTAAATGGCCATCAATCAGCACCAGTATTGGGTGACAATACCTTTCTCTCCTTGGCATCGGAAGGTCACAGGTAAGGGCGGAGCGTTGGATTAAGCCGAAGATGAGATAAGGAGAACAGAGTATAATGCATTAAATGCATTAGAACGTTCTATGTGAAGCCGGTTTTTGAACACTCTGAATATGCACTGAAGCTCTTCAAGACAAACTTGGTGTCACTGTGTCATCTGTGTACCAGAAACACCAGAAGCGACCAGTGCATGCTCAGAGTATTCGAACATTTTGTTGGATGGGTTAGTTTGCGGGAGGGTAGGGGGGTGTTGTGTGTGGACATTCGAAGGAAGAGCGGTGGGAGGTTAAAGTGGTGAGAGAGCAGGTTGACGCAAATACCCGTGAAGCGACACTCCGTGAGGTTAATTTTACGATTGGTGTCCTCGCGAAGAAAGAGCATTGGGTGATGTTAATAGTGAGCGTTTCTCTGTGATACAGATGCTGTGCAATCGGTGAGACAAAGTGCGGAGGATCGTGACGCAGCCAAGAAAGAGGGCGAGAGAAGTGACATATCTGATGGGGTCTCACAAACAAAGGTGCAAGAGGTGGCACTTCAATGAAAGCCGAGACAAGATGAAGACAGAAAGCTCCCCAGATCAAGGTAAGGTTACCATCCAGTAGTGTGGCAACCACTGATAGACAAATACTCATTCAGTCTGTACACACATCTCGATCACCAACACACCAACACAGAATGGTGACTGTGCTTGTAGATGAAACAAACAAACCCTCAACACTCAGTCTGGTGCTCAGGTGCTTTGGGGTGCTCACATGGAAACTGTGCCATATATATAGTTTAAACCCCTGTACCAAAATGACATCCAGACACCCTTACAAACTACAAGTGGGTGATCATGCACAATTCTGGGTGACTTTGAGAATCCAAACAAACATATATCAAAATTGTAAACATTAAAACGAGCACAAATACAGTATAAAATGAAAAACAGTGTCACAAATATATCACAGTTGTTCTTTAGCAAACAAGCCTCTTCTAAATCTGATGTGCCAAGGAAATCACAAGAAAATCACTTTATCTAAATATGACTGGAGAATGTAATCAATATTAGTTATATTTAGATATATGTATCTCTTGTCACATTTTCTAGACTACTATATATTTTTCCAATGTATCTGAAACCTAAAATAGTGCTTTTTGAACAAAATGTACCTAATCCAACCTTAAACCTCTTACCTGGTGGTCCCATTGGGCCTGGAGGTCCAGTGGGGCCTGGGGCCCCCAATGAGCCAATGGATGGGGATCCAGGTGGGCCACGAGCTCCAGGGATACCAGGTGAACCGGGCTCACCTGGATAGGGAGAAGAGGATGTGACTGTCAGCTTGGTGTACTGTCAGATGGCTTTGTTGTGCTTTGGTATCTTACACACACAGACACACACTCACACAAATATTCATGCACGTGTCCCTTCAGAGAAACCACACCAGTAACAGAACTATATAATACCTTTGGATCCTGGGCCGCCATCAAATCCAGATCGTCCTGGTGAACCGGGGCCGCCAGGGAAACCAGGATCTCCCTTTGGTCCAGAGAAACCTTTACCTCCAGGCATTCCTGGTAAACCAGGTGGGCCAGGTAGTCCAAAGCCAGGCTCACCCTGTCACATGCACACACACGTAGACTGATCACCATCTTCTTGCAGAAAATAAATACAGAAACTTGTTTCTTGGGGACACAAAATCCAGGTAAAGATTAATATAAATGGATATGTACTTTGACAAAGATTAATCTATTTCTCTTTTTTTCTATTGCATCATTTATTTTGAGAAGACACAAATCCTGAAAGACATCTACTAAAAATTAATTTTCAAAATGGACAAAACATTATTTAGGGCTCTTCAGGGTTTTTTGTTATTTTATTTCTCATCCATCGTTTCATTTAGGTTTTCTTTAATGTGAATTTCCCATCAGTATTAATGTAGTGCTTTGTCTCTCTGTCCATCTATCTATCTACCTTGGCTCCAGGAAATCCAGGCTGGCCGGGAAGTCCATCCACTCCTGGTCTGCCTGGTCCTCCAGGAGCTCCTGGCTGGCCGGGGATACCTAGGAATCCTGGAGGAGAAAAGAGGAGAGGGTGGATGAGGGAGGACTATGATGTATTAAGAGGGTGATGTGAAAGTAAGAGGTGGGATGAGGAGGTAGAGGGACAAAGGGAAACATAGACAGGCGGCTGGAAGGAGTGACTGTCGTATGTTTACCTTTAGCTCCTGGGGGTCCAGGGAGTCCGATGCCTGGGAGTCCAGGGTCACCCTTCGCTCCTGGTAAACCAGGGAAACCAGGTTGTCCGGGCTGACCTGGGCTACCTGACAACAGAAAATTACAAAAAAAAAAAGACAATTAGACAACAGATATGCTGTATGTTACCTTATCTATGCATGAGCACTGCATTGACAAATGTGCTTCAAGCAATGATTGTATACCTGGTCCACCAGGCAATCCAGGCTCTCCATCCTGTCCTCTGGCTCCTGGTAATCCTTTCTCTGCTACTGTCAGGCCTGGTTCACCTTTAGCACCTGTATGGTGAGAGATAAAAAGGTAAAGCTGGTTCCTGTTCTTAAACTGTGGCTTCATTAATTCAGGCTAACCTGTTGTTGTCAGGCTAAAATAAACCAGTTTACTCTCAACCATAACTTGGTTCTTTGAGGATTGATTTGTTAATCCTGGATCAAGTTGCACTTGCAGTTTAAATAAATGCAAAATGAGTAGAGAGTTGAAACCACGGTCGGGATTCAATTGATTGGGTGAGTGCTGATCATTTGGCTAAGGTTACATGAGGTGAATATTAGGTTGAAGGAAAGGAGATAGATAAAAAATAATATAGAACTTGGATTAAAGTCCCAATGGCAGAAATCAGTGAATAAAGCTAAACTGATCTCTTACCAGGTGCACCAGGACCTCCAGGTCTGCCTGAGACTCCCTGCACTCCCTTCTCTCCTGAGGGCCCTTGAGGTCCAAAGCCGGGGGAACCTGGGGGACCCCTGTCCCCTGGAAGACCAGGGGAACCTGGCTCACCGGGGAGTCCTCGTTCTCCTTTCACGAGCAGAGAGCCCTGTCAAACACAGTCGCAAACACAAATTAGTTAAGAAATGAACCACGGATGGATCGACACATCTCAATATAGGAGAGACTGAGTAAACGCCACGTACGGGAGCTCCTTTGGGCCCAGGAGATCCAGGCACTCCATCACGACCGGGGCGTCCGTCCAGACCAGGCAGACCGGGTGATCCGGGGAAACCAGTGTCACCCTTCTCCCCCCTTATACCAGTGACTGTGATGGCATCACCTGGGTCACCCTTCTCTCCGGGGAATCCTGGGGCACCTTGAGGTCCAGGGGATCCCTGGAAACAAAAGGATCGAAGGTGTAAAGAGGAAAATAATTTAGCGGGTTGTTAGTACTTTAAATTTTAGATTTTAATTTTAGGCTGGGCCATTTGCCATAAGAATTCAATCAAACTCTGACTCATGACCAGGGATCAAAGATAATACTGGATTTTTGAGGCAGATACCAATATCAGTATTTGAGAATATGATATACGGGTCAATAGTAATTTCATCTGCAAATATTTTTTAGGATTTTGAAACTTGTTACTGCTCTCTGGTGGACAAACTATGTAACAGAGTCACTCTTTCTAAATGAAAAAACATTTTCCAGGATGATATAAGTAGAAAGTAAAAACTCACAGGTGAGCCGACAGCTCCAGGTGTTCCTGGAAATCCTCTGTCTCCTTTGATACCCTGGCCACCAGGTGTTCCTGGTGAAGGACAGGAAAGAAATTATATAAATAAAGTGATTCTTATAGTTATATCTCATTATCTAATTTATAGTCATATCAGTTGTTGTGCAGGAGCAAAACATCTCTGACCGATGTGGACAGATTGCAGATTGGATTAAAAACACAGTAAGAATGATCCTACGATTTTCAATGAAGTACCACTGAGCAGGTCAATAATCCGCTCCCTGTGCCCTGGTCATACATTGATGTGGAGTCTGTGCAAGAGAGTAATTGTGGAAATAAAGTTTACGGTATTACCAGGGAATCCAGGCGATCCGGGGGGTCCTGGGGGTCCTGGGATGGAGCTGGTGCCACCAAAGCAGTTCACACAGGTGTCGCCCTTGTCACCTAAAAGAGCATCAGATCATTAACATCAGTGTTTTCTGCCTAGTGGTGCACAAGCAGGGTGGACCACCTTGTAACTAAAATCCACTCCTTTAATGTCTTTCAATGATATTTTAGGTAGACATGTATATTTATGCTTCATTTATGATATAGCTCAGATATTTGTGAATGAACAGCAGCATCTGTATATTCTCTCACCTTTCTGGCCTGTTTCTCCTGGGTAACCTCTCTCTCCCTGCACGCCGGGACGCCCAGCCTCTCCAGGGATGCAGTTTTGTCCTGCACTGGAAAAGCCCGGAGGTCCAGGGGGCCCTTGTGGCCCCTGGCCACCGGGAGATCCTGGACGTCCTGGGGGACCGGGCAAAGAGAGCCCTGGAGGACCAAGCTCTCCTTTCTGACCTCTTTCTCCTGGGAAACCTGGAGGTCCAGGCTGACCATTACCACCGATGGCTGGACGTCCTGGTGTTCCGGGAGGTCCTGTCAAACCTGAACAACACAATTAAAAAAGTAGTGGTAAGTAATTGATATTTAATTGTTTTTTCAATCAATCAGTTGATGAATTGACTGATCTCTGCCACTCAAATCTCATTAGCTAAGTGACGCCTCAGTGGACAGAGGCACACAATCACTTATCATTAGGTTGTTAGCATAAGTTAGCTAACCTTTGATCTTCAAAAGTAGCCTCACTATCTTACAGGTAGTAGCTACCTATTTAATTTGCTTGCTGCCCTTCGAACATAATAAATGGCACAGTCATGAGTAATTTAAGACATGAAACTTTTTATTTATAAAAAAAAAAATATGACAATTCATTGATGGTTGAGTGTCAAAATTTGTTTCTTTAGCCTGCTAGCATTGCATGCACTACATATTTAAAAATAACCTGAATGCAAATTATGTATTTGAATATTTTGTCTCTGTGTAAGTGTGTTTTGTGTTTACCTGTGGGTCCGCGCTCCCCTTTGATCCCAGGTGTTCCAGGGTACCCGGGCTCACCTTTAGGACCAACACGACCTGCTGTCTGCCCGCCAATCACCTGAGTAGAAAAATAAATGAATTAGATTCAGAAGAAAAGAGTTACACACAGTAAACTGGTCAAAGGCTCTAAATACCTTCTCTATAATTAAATATTAATAACTTTACTGTATTGAAAAAACTCAAATAAAATCAAGGTGAGACAGAAAGACATACCACCATCTAGTGGTCAAAGAATGTAGTGCACTTGATGCACTCAGATCTTTTAATTAAGTCAAAGTGGAAACACCGCACTCAGAAGATAAGGGGTACAAAAGTTTTAACAACAATATACAAAATACACTTAAAGTATCCATTATGCAGAATGACTCATTTGTGAATAATATACATTATATTATTGGATAATAATTATTGATGCATTAATGTATACACCATTTTAATGTCACAGCTGGTAAAGGTGGGGGTAATTTCAATTACACCGTTCTGCATTGCTGGGTAGCTTGTGAAGTATTCACAAGCTATTTCCAAATTCAGTAAATGCACTTCTACTCCACTGCTTATGATATTTTTTTTCTATTTTCCCCCCTTATTATAATAATAATAATTATAATAATTCACATGGATACCTGGGTAGATGCTAGTAGTGGTTGAAAGGCTTTAAATGTTTTCAATTTATTAGGAAAGAAAAGAAAAGAAAAACTACATAGAGAGAAATGTCACCACCCAGTGGTCAGAAGAATGTAGTGCATCGAGATGTCATTTGTTATTTTAGATATGGAGCATTTTCTATAGATTTTCGTATTTTTTTCCATGTTTTTAACTTAATTTTTTGTTGTCAAGTAGAATCTTTATTTATGGCTACACATATTCCCATTTGTGGAGCTGCCTGTACATTTACAGTCTCACACTGAAACTGCCTTGCTCAAGAGAACTTGGACAGCGTCCGTAGCATCATTTACACATTTTCACTCAGGTGATTATAGATTTGCAAAACTGAGTTGTCGTGGGTAAAAATGTCCAAGACAACTGAGCAAACTGAGATGAAAAGCTCGGGATGCTGCTGAACCCTCGATGCATGGACTGTGATTTAAGAGTATTTAGGAAAATGAAGAAAAAGGAGACTACACACCACTCCTGGTGGGCCAGGATATCCACGATCTCCTTTTAGACCCTACAAAAAAAGAAGGAGGTGGAGTGTTATTAAAACAGCAATATTACCTCATGACTTGTTGAATAATAATTTTAGGATTTATAAAAAATTTGGAGAAAACCTACTCTCTCTCCATCCCTGCCTGGAGGACCTGGCAAGCCTGACTCTCCTTTGATGCCCTGATAGTGAACAAAGACAGGAGAAAGAAAAGAAAGTTAGTCAAGTGAATAAGACATTTAAAAAACATCTTTGGCATGATTTCCCCAACATTAAGTCTTATGAATTGTCTCGTATGTTGGCAGAAACTCACAGGGAATCCTGGAGGACCAGGGTCACCGTCTTTGCCTGGTTTGCCCTGTAAATAGAAGAAAATAGTGAACAAGTGTTTGAGGGAAGTCTGAGAGAGACTTAGAAGGATTGTCATATGTCGCCAATTGCTGCGTACAGTGAACACGATTGTCAGATTTTTTCTGAAAAAGTTTCAGGTTGACACAACCTTTCCCCTTATTCCGATGTCCGAAAGGAGGTTCCTGCTTGCCTTCAGTTTAGGTTATGTGTTAGGGTTAGGCATGTAGGATTATGTCAATGAAAGTCCTCACCCTAAGTATCTAAGCACAGCTGTATATTTGTTCGTGTGAGAACTGTACTTACTCGTTTGCCTGGCTCTCCTGGATCGCCCTTATCTCCTTTCTGGCCGCCTGAGGGACCCTACAATCACAACAGAACACGTGTAAACAATATGACTGTGAAAAGAGGTTGTTTTTAATTTTTTTTATATATGTTTTTATGATTACATATCATAATAGATACTCACAGGAGGTCCTGGATAGCCTGGATCACCTGGAGGGCCGGGAAGTCCTGGGTCACCCTTGAGAGAAAGCACACAAAACAGTAAGTTCAATGTTCAACGATTTCACTGCTGGTCATTTCTGTCATATTGCCCTCAAAGTGTTTGTACCACAGCCTGAAAATATATAAATTTAAACAGCTTAATGCTGCACTCTAGTGGTAAAACTCCTGCATCTGCAACTTTTTTCTCCAAAGCTCTAGGATTAATATGGAACTTAAACACTGGAATTTTCAAATAATGGCCTTATATTAATCTTTAATATTAATTCATTTACACAAACATTTGTTGTAATATTTGTTGTTTCTTAAGTTCAATTTTATGTCAGTTTACATTTTCTTACATTTGTTATGTTCCTTTTTGATTGTGGTTAGTCTGTTTGATGTTAGTTTTTACTTGCATTTTGTAGTTGTTGGCTGTCAGTTTAGATCCTAACTAACTGTGCCACAGCTTAATTAGAAAAGTCTTGACCTTTTGTAAAAACAACTAAACTAAACTTGTAATAACTTAAAAAACTCCCTTGTTCAAGTCCAAATATGCTTGGTGTGATTACTAAAGGATTGTTGACAAGGTCAGTTTCAGGATGGTTTTATTACCTTGTCTCCTCTCTGAATCTCAGTCTCTGGGGGCCGCTTCTGTTCTCCCACCTGTCCTGGAGGACCGGGAGGTCCTGGCAAACCAGGTTCACCCTGCATTCACACCCAGAAATGCACAAAGTGAGATTCAAGCATAGAAAGTATAGAAACAGACGGAAAAGACAGAGAGCTTGATAGACAGACTGAGTGTTCATCAGGGGTTTTGTGGTGAAAACTAGAGGAGAATAACGACAGTCAGACTTTTTACAGTACCTTCTCTCCTTTGGGTCCTTGGAAGTTCAAACCCATGTTTCCCTGCAAAGAAAAAACAGATAGACATTGTGTCTTTGAGTCTTTGGGGAGAGTCTTTTATGGTCAAGAGGGTAAGAATGATGATGATGATGACCAAAGACATCAGATCAACTGAAATGTGTCTGAACTCACCTTTGGTCCAGGAGGACCAGGAGGACCTGGGCGACCCTGAAAAACAACAGCAGAAACCAGTTACCTCAACACCTTCAATTTGATGCCATTTGTAAAACTAAAATGGAAAAAAGACCTTGATATCATGTTTCGCAGCAGCTCTCTTTTACCTCATATCCTCTGGGTCCGGGAGGCCCGAGTGCACCTGGTAAACCAGGGGGACCAGAAGTGCCCTGTTACATGAACACACAGAAAAAATTTCACACAAATACATAGTCTTTATCAAGTCACTTTCCTGCGATGATAAATGTATTTAAAGTGTGAAATCAGATGTTTTGAACAAAGTTTGGCTTATTATATTCAGTGTCCAGACAACTTACAGGAACTCCCGGCAATCCGGGCAATCCCACAGCTCCTTTCTCTCCAAAACGATTTGTTGAGATCACATCGCCTGGGTCTCCCTGTAGACAAAGGACACACAATCAGTGGAAAGTGTTAGACAAAAAAAAATTTACTTACTTACTTTAAGAAGCTTAGAAAATACCCAAAACTGCTCTAAGTAATGTTACTTAAATATAGTTGCACTGAAGGAGGATGGAGGTCCATTTTGACCATTTCTAATCATGTGAAACACCATCACCACAACAAGTTCATGTAGACACATACACTATATTTATAATAAAATCCATTTTACAACGACCCAATTAATCAACAGAAACTGTAGTAGTAGTTTTGTATCCAGGTAGAATATTTTACTTACCTTTGGTCCTGGAAGACCAGGTGGACCCTATAAAGGAGACAAGGAGAAGAGAAATCTTCAGGGAACAGATCAAAGTCAGAGAAGTTGTTAATTAATTTGTTAAAAACTCTAAATGAACAAACTCTCATCAGTGACTCACAGGTAGTCCTTGCTGTCCAGGGATTCCTGAACTTCCTGGAAAACCTCTGTCACCCTGAGGAGCAGAAGTTGATTCTTGAGTTTGGAAACAGTAATTTGACAAAATGAAAAAAGCTCTCTTTCATGACATCACAGAGGCTTTTCAAATTTAGCAAAGCTTACTCGAAAAAAGGGAACGAGGATAATATTGAAATCTGGTACAAATATGCTTCAATGCTAGCTCTGGATTACCCTTACGACACTTTCAGAATTCAGAGCTCATTTATCTGACAACTGACGGAGCACTCTGGGAAAGTGGAGACGGTGAGATCCTTTGAAATAATGTCAGAATAAACAAAACTTCAGAGATATTCAGCTGAGTTTTGTTGTCAGACTTTCCCATCAGATAATACCTTTGTCCCGTTGCAACCTGGCACTCCTCTCGGGCCTGGAGGTCCGTCCTGCCCTGGCAGACCCTGGGAAACAGAAAGTAAACAACAGGTTACATCAAACATGCTGGCTTTGACAAAGTACAGTAAGACAGGATTAGTAGGATTTCAGACGATGGGGAAACTCACTGGAAGACCTGGTGTTCCTGGAAATCCTGGCAATCCAGGAGGCCCCTGTTAGGAGGGAAATAATAAAAGTCAGTCATTTAAAGTGTAAAGCCTGCAGAGCATGTCAATCACGGAGAATCAAGCTTGTAGCTTCTTCATCCTCACTGTCTGTGTTTGAGATACGGAGAAATGAGGACATCTGCTGGCCAGAGGAGGGTATTACAACCCAGGATCATCCAGTGCTGAGACATCTTAGGATAATTCATGCTCACAATTTTTTAATCAACATGGAAAACCAACCCCTGAAATTAAACTGTGCTTTTTTACTAACCCTTGGAAATATGTTAATTAAGAAAAATAAATAAATGAATAAAAAATCTAAACTTGGTAAAAGAGAAACTGCTGTTTGTAGGAGAAGAAACACCAGAAATTGATAAGAGGAACAAACGTGATTTGCTTACTCTAATTCCCTTCGGGCCACCTGGTCCTTGAGGTCCATCGCTGCCCTGAGAGGGAGAACACAAAAGCAGACAGACATTATTAACTGGACGAACTAAAGTGGTATTTCCATTTGGTATCTCCAAACCCCAATTCATAATTGTGTTGCTTCTGTAGCGCCCCCAACCCACCTTCTCTCCTCTGGGTCCAATCGGCCCCTCGGGTCCGGGGAACCCTGGGACTCCTGGCTGTCCGGTGAGACCTGGGAAACCCCGTTCGCCCTGCACACGATGACACAGATACAGAAACCATGTACACAGACATATACAAATACAATACCAAGTTCTTTCAATTACACACAGAAATATACAGTTTACTTTAACCTCCTTAACACCTTAAAGTGGAGGCCGCAGTATAAAGAGATAATGAATGAGAATAAAGTGAAACACAGTTGTAATGATATAAAATATACCTTCGAAGGAGACATTATAACTGTTGACGAATACTGTACATTAATACACACTTTAAAATGTAATTGTAGCTGCATACAATGACATTATAGTGTGTTATAAACCATTTATTAACACTTTTGCGCAATCTCATCATGCAAAAGTTTTTACTGAGGAGTCTAAAGCAGCATTTGTCTGTGCGTTGCCCCGAAACTGAATATTGTACATCATGTAATTTTGTGTGTCGTGTGTCACGTTGCCTACCTTGGCTCCTTTCACTCCACTGCAGTCACATTTGGATCCCACACATCCATGGCAAGCCTGTTGAGAAACAAGATCGAGGTAGATATTAGTGTGTGTTATTTCAGCCCTGAGTGCACCAGAAGAAACTCTGTGACAAAACAGACACCACTAGATAACTTTATGACACGGGCAGAGTTGAACCATAGAGAAACAATTTGCTGGCTTTCACTGTCGAGGACACTAACCATCTAATCGCCACATAAGCACTCAAGGTCTCTAGATGCAGAGGACAGGTCGGTGCAACTAAAATGCAGCTGTTTAATGTGAAACAACTTGCACCTCAACAAACTACCGCTGCCTCCTGAGGAAACTGAGCGTTGCATTTTGTGTATCACACTGCAGATGATGCACGACACCACTAGGGGGGGCTCCGTCATTGCTCTTCCCTGCACGCTACAGGCAGCATTTTTTTTTCCCACAGAAAAAAGAGAAAAGTTTGTGGATTCTCTTCAGATAAGAAGACAGGTGGAAGGTCAGTGAAGACCAAACAACGGATTATTTTTTCTATCTGAAACAAAACAAATTTATCTGCCAGAATGCTTCAGTTTTTTCTCAGCAAAGATGAACAATCAACTTGTGGAAATGCTGATCCTCCTTTTCTTTAGAAGAGCAAAGAGGGTTAAAGGAAAGTGGAGAAAGGGAGGGAGGGGTGGATGGAGGGACAGAGGGAGTGGGAGTGCCAAGCTGTTGATTAACTTTTCCCATGCTTGTTGACACAGTGGATGCCAGACGGGCATCGATTGCACGCATGCCAGGCAGTCAGGTTGTGAGAGAAGACAGAGTGGCAGAGAGAGGGAGAGAGAGAGGACAGACGGGGCAGGCAAGTCAGCATTTTTCTGTGTCTGCAGAAGCTTTTGTGTGTCCATGGTTGGCGTTGATGGTTTTCGTGGTTATTTCTGTGTTTTTGGCCCGTGCGAGGAAGATATTCAGTTTACAGTGACGCTGAAACACAGAAAAGCAGCAAATCCTCTCATTTTAGAGGCTGAAACCGGCAAATATTTGGGGATTACTTTTCTGTCAATTAGATAAATCATTACAGCTCAGTGAAACAGGGTAAAGGGAGCAAAAAAAAAAAAAAGAGGTGTGAAGGACTTAATGGGTCAGAAACCGTGACATTAGAGGCACATGGCGGTCGTCTCAGCCCAGTGATTCAGAAAAAGTTTGAGGAGGAGGGACGTGATTTCTTTGGTGACGACGTTTCAAACCCCGAATCTGACTCCAAAAACAGCTCGTAGACCGAGACTCTGTGCAATAGGTCTTCATCAGTTTACTACCAGTCCGGTCTGAGGTCATCGAAGGAAGTGACCCTTGCTCTTTGCCACCATTTTTGGCTGACAGCGTCGACACGGAAGCATCTGTGCAACCCAAAAATAATTTTAAAAAAGTGGGTAGTTAAGTGTTTTGTGAAATCTTAAATCAATGAATGCATATTGTAGATAAAAGAATATCTTTTCAGATATATGAATATCTAGTGAACAGGTGCAAAACAACTCAATTTAATAGATTTAGAGCTGAAACTATTAGTTGATTAATCAGTAACTAGCTAGCTACTATTTTGATTATCACTCAATTGATTACTTCATTTGTTAATTTGGATTTTATGGTTCCAGCTTCTGAAATGTGAAGATGTCTTTGTGTTTTGGACTGATGGTTGAATTTTAAGACGTAAACTCGGTCTCTAGAAAATTGTGATTTTTTTCACTTTTTCATACATTTGAAAAACTTAAAGACTAATCTCCTTCAACAACAGGTGACGTCGACACTTCTGTGACTTCACAGACAAGACAGTGCGAGGTAAAAAAACATCAGTCCACATCTGTGCCACATCGCACATCCAGCAGTGTAAATCTTTTAAGAAGCTGGTGCGTACATATGTATCAGGACTTTGACATAGAAGCCTGTGTGATCTGCAGGGACAGTCCGGTCTGTACAACATGCCTGCACACACTGGCATGTGTGTGTGTGTCTGTATTAAGTTACACTACATGTATCGGGTTCAGTGCAGGCCTCTCTGACTACATTACAACACTTCCTTTGACCCGGGAGAGTCAAAGGTCAACATCAGAGCAGACTGACAAAATCTCACTGTAAAATAACTTTGGTTCAAAATTTATAAATAATGAAAATAATTATCAATTTAAGTCTAAATCCACTTTATTTTACAATTTCCGTCACTAGATTTATATAATCTGGTTCTTCTGCAAAGTGAAATCTGTAAACTGTTTTGATTTACCACCATGTATGGCTTGTGTTTGTATACACACACAGATGGAGACACAGGTGTGTGCATATGTGTACATTACGGTACATTTGTCACATTCCTGTGTGTGTGTGTGTGTGTGTACAGGAAGTGTCCACAGTTATAAACAAGGTGTTAACCACAGGCTGTATGTGCTCTATGCAGTGGCTCGTCGGACTTCCTGTGCGGCTCGGAGGCTAAAGCGAGACACCGGGTTGAGGGTTTGATTCCCACGTCAAAGAAGACAACATGTCGCTGTCAGGAGTTCTGGATTAAAGGATCCACAGGCCGTCGCATGTTGGTAGTAAACACAAAACATGGGTAAACTGCTATCTGGACCAGAGGCTAGAGGGTTATCCACACAAACACACACACACACACAGACACACACACACACACACACACACACACACACACACACACACACGCCTGAATAAATCTACATGGGTAGTCAAGGTTGTGTGTGCGTGTGTGTGTGTGTGTGTGTGTGTGTGTGTGTGGAGCTGTTTTTACAAGCCCTGGATCTCCAGATTAGTCTCTGGTCTGGTTCAGCTCAATGCAGTCTGCTCTCCCACGCCCAGGCCTGCAGCTCACGCTCTTTTTCTCCTCCATCTCTTTCTCTCTCTTTCACTTTCTCGTCATCCACCTGCCTCCCCGTCCTCGCTCCCCTCATCCCTCTTTCCCCCCCGCTTGACGTGCATTTATCCAGAAGAGCATGACAAGGCTCATTTGAGCTTACAAGGCTCTGAAACGTTCACGGATGCTCAGCACCAAGTGAAAACCCCCTGTGCAGTGAGAGGGGTTTACTGCCTTGCTCAAGGGCACGCGGGGCAGTTGCGATTAAAGGAGTCGGGGTCTGATTGTAGCAGCTCTTTTAAACTCAGCTACATTCATTTCCTGCTTTCTTTCCACTTCCGTATGAGAAGATTATTGATTTGTGATATTGTCGTGAAACGAAAATGGGAATAATTCAACTGACATAACAGCAGAACAAAATTAATCAGTGAGATTAGTTAAAACCATCCTCAGCAGATGTCGTTATCTGCTCTACATCATCTCGTGACCCTTCATATATATCCCATGATCCCTTGTGGGGGTCCAGACCCCCAGGTTGGGAACCATTGCCTTATGAAACTCAGAAAATAGCCGATTAAATGTGATAATGATTTCCACCGCATCACCCAGCCCTACCTGTCATAAACCTGTCAGAAATAAAATGATCACTCCATCAGGTGGGTGTGAAGATGCAATAATAATACTGACTAATGATATTACATCATTCAGCTACTGTATCAAATATTATAAACGCTTTACCGTCTCTGTGATATTACAATTAGTGGTTAATGTGATCACAGTGTATGATCCGACTCCACAGTCACCACAGCTTTCTACATGTTCGGTTGGTTTGAAACCCTCGTATGTGTTTAGCTACAACATTATCTTGATGCTATAAAACATGTTAAGACGACCGGGTGCAGCTGCAGGTGGAGGCGCTGCACTGTGATTTACTGCAAATCTGTTGCCCCCGTCTGGGGTAAAAGAAGCCGAAACGAACTGAAATGAAAAATTCTGCCTAAATACAGCGTTAAAAAGTATATCTCTCCATGCTGTTTGCTCCCTCTCTGCACCCCCTCCTCGCTCACCCCTCCCCACCCACCCCCCAGCACTGACGGGGCATGTAATCCACTTAGAGAGGTCAGTGAGCTGCAGATATTTGCTCCACTCCCTCGGTCTGTATGGCTCTCTCCTGCTCTCTTTTAACTCACTCTATCATTTCCCTCACTCTCTCTCTCTCTCTCTCTCTCTCTCTCCTCAACAGCGTCCCACTTTTTCCATCAACCTTGCAATCAGGCCTGAGGGGAGGAACAGCCGGGCTCGCACTCTGAGGGCTGCCAGCCTGAGCCGACAAGCCCCGGCTGGCCGGCCTCAGCGCCGCTGGAGGTCCGTAGAGGACAGGTAATAACAGTCACGACTGCAGAGGTTCATGTCTGACACTGGGGGGCGGGCGTTCAACAAACTGAGGTCAAAATGAGACAATTAATGACCCAAAAGTATCCTAAATTCATTCATGAAATCACGCTGATCTTAGTGGCAAAGGTGTCTTAGATTCAAAGTCACCGTGAAATAAAAACATCTTAATCTTTTGCTCATGTGTCAGCTGTTCATTTATTTCTTGTTACATGAGTCAAAAGTGATTTTTTTTGCATTTTTATGTCTATATATCTTCCTTCTCTTAATATCTTTGATGACTCATCTTCAATATACATTAAATTTACAGTAAATTTACTGAATCACGTGATTTTTTTGCGGCTAACTAGCTGAACTTGACCGTTAGCTTAGCTAGCTGCTATTGCTGCCGCTAAAATGCTCTAACTTGTGTTTCACTGGGACTTTAAGAACACAGAAAAAAAAATACATTTTTAATCTAAATCATTTTTAATCAAGTTTTAATCTTATGTGAGTTTTTCATTTATCTCTTGTTTCATGCGTATAGATATTTGTGAATTAACCAAAACAAGCTAGCTAACCGCGCAGCTAGCTGCTATTGCTGCAGCTTCTGCAACTTGTGTCTCATGGTGATTGTAAAGACAGAGAAAAAAAATAAGTTTTCCAACATTTAATCCTGTGCCAATCAGTTAGTTGGTCATTTGTCTCTTGTTACATGCTAAACACATGCTAACGTCAACTGAGGAGCATGTACACACAGTAAATGTGTCCAATCAGCTAACAAAGCAGTATTATAGAAGGAGGTGTGGGTTTGTTCTGTTCTGCTCATTAT